AGATCTGCAAACATTCAAGTCTGTGTGTCCCTCTATCAGTGTGAGTATATATTTCTGATACTGTGTGTGTCCCAAGCTGTCTGCCCTGAATGTCCATGTTTTCAAGGCTATCACCATTCCTGTATGTTCCATGTGCCTGTGGCTGACTCTGTGTGATCACCACCATGCATGTGCCTGCAAGGATTCTCTCATCAGTGAAAGGAGTCAGTTCATGCTGGCAAAATATATGGTAAAAATATATTTGTTTCTATGCCTGCTATTGAGCTCAAGCTTGGACAGGGGTCAAGGGTGAGTGGTGGGGCAGCCCAGAAGAGAGAAGAAAGCCGAGATGCTTACAGGTACCTGGCTGGAGAGGGCGAAGGTGCTGGCTGGGCTCTTCTTCTTACTGTTGCTGTTGTTAGTGTTGCCACCCCCTGAACTCATGGTGCTGCCCCCTGACATCTTCCGTTTCCGCCGTTTGCTGGGCTGTTGCCGTGCAGGCTCCGCGGGGGGTGCTACCATGCGCTGCCACTTCTGGAAAAGGCAGGTCTTGAGGCAGTCTCGGGGGCTGAGGCTGTAGGTCTTGTGGCGGGACATGAGCTCCTGCATGGGCTCAAGTATCACACAGAGCTGGGGGTAGACCAGAAGGTAGCTGTCAGGGGAAAAGACATGGAACCCAGATCAAATGGATGGGGCAGAAACAGGGTGATCAGAGACTCACTCGGAGGTAGTTGAGAGTAGAATTGGATAATCCACACCGGGTGATATTTTTAGAGAGCTGATCCAACATCTGGGGGTCCTGGGCCTAGAGGAGAGAAAGACAAGAACACTGGTTTTGGGGTTGCATCTGCTCACTGGCCCTATCATCTGAGCATTGATAATATTCCTGAGAGAAAAGAGGGGCTAGCATTACACCAGTTTTTTTTTTTTTTTAATTCCTTTATTTTACTTACTTATTATTATGTAGTACTGAGGATTGAACCCAGAGCCTCACACATGCTAGGTGAGCATTCTACCACTGAGCCACAACCCCAGCCCCTAAACCCATTTTTCTTTAAGTATTCATTTTATAGTTGGACACAATACCTCTATTTCACTCACTTATTTTTTTACATGGTGCTGAGGATGGAACCCAGGGTCCCGTGCATGTGAGATGAGTGCTCTACCGCTGAGCCACAATCCCAGCCCTAAACCCATTTTTTAAGGTACCTCTAAGGCTACAGCCAGGACATGGCAGACCCTGTTCCACCCTTCCTTCTGCCTGCTTTCCCCCTTGCATCTTGTCCTGCCCACAACTCACATGCATGGCAAGGATGCTCCGGGGGATGAGCTCTCGGTGCTGCCGAATGCTGAAGTGCCACGTCTTTATCCGCATCATGTCATCAAACATGAATTCCAGGTACAACCGGCCCTCCACACACACCTGGGGACAGGCTTGTCACAACCTTGTCCCATCCCCATATACAAGAAAATGTGCCTGTTACAGTTCTCCTGTTTGTTCACAACTATATATATATATATATATATATATATATATATACACACACACACACACACACACANCACACACACACACACACACACACACACACACACAGTAAGAAAGTATAAGAGATCCTTGTCCTTTCCCCATACAACCAGTAATACACCTATCAGCTACAAGCTTTACGAGGGCAGGTTCTTGTTCACTGTTTAACTTTGGGATCCCAAAAATATCATATACAAAGCTGATAAATGTTTGCTGAATGCTGCAGCATGCCCACTTTCCCTTCTCATTTTTGCCATTTCCATTATGCCTACCTGGTGAACAGCTGTGAATACGTGTTGGAAGAAAGGAAATCAAACCCAAAGACCCCAGTGTTCCACATCTTACTGGGTTGCTAACCTGGGTAAACATGGGTTTGCCGTGCTGGGTCACCATGCTGCCCTGGTCACAGTCGAGGGACACAAAGTTGCTGTGGAATGCCTCCTTGGGATGCTTAAGCACATAATACAGCTCCGTAGCACCCCCCTCAAAAATGCTGCGGAAGTAGCGTGGGATCAAGGTCCGGCCAATGGCTGTAGAGATGGGACAAACTTCAGGACTGAGGGACTTCAAAAAAGATCAGGCAGATGCTTCCCCTRCCAAGACAGACCCCTTGGCATTTCCAGGCTTAGAATACACAGGAGATAAACACTCTCACAGCAAGAACCCCAAGGCCACTCACTGTATCTCTTTGGTCCATCCTCCAGGCAGAAAGTGATGGTCAACATGGCATCATCCTCAAAGAACTCAGTCGTGAAAGCATCCCACCAGAGATTGTCGCACTCCTAGGGAGCACAGGGAAGGGTGTGTGTATAAGTGTCATAAGATATTCCAGGGGTGCCCAGATGGACCTTCTACTCTCAGTCTCTTTTCCCTTTGTCATACCTCTGTCCAGTTCTGAAGCCGTTTGTTAAGCTCGAATATTCTGTAGTCAGTTTGGTTACCATATGGTGTGTGCCTCCTGGGGAAGTGAAGGGAAGTCAGTAGGAGCAGAGTCATACTATCCCCACTTCTCCCTTCCTGATAAAGTCTACTTACCCAATCCCAGGTTCCAGGTATGTAGGTGGGTACATGGGAGTTGGGCTGTGTAAGGGAAGAGGCTATGAGAATGGGGGTGGAAGACAGGAATTACTGAGGGGGGGGGGGAGTCCACTCCCTCCCCTTTATAGGCAGGCTCCCATCTAAAGAAAGGTTAGGAAATTGGCAAGGGACTCACCCCACATCCCGATCCAGCATGGTGCCGGGATGAAAGGGAGGGAAGGCGTTGCCGTTCGGGGGCTCCTTCGGTGAGTACAGCTTGAATGACTTTGAGGAACAACCTAAGAAAGAGAAAGGAAGAACCCCTTGAACCACTCCTGGGAGATGTCCTGGAAGCCTGCTGGATCATGTGGAAAGGGACTATCTT